TAAGTGCTGAGCCTAATCTCGACGAAGTAGTGACGAGGCTAAGGCGGGTCACTTACATTACATGTACGCAATATTAGTAACAACAACAATAATAGAAATAAATCAGGTAACTCATTTATAATAATTGAAGCCAACTCAACAGTCATAACCAATTATCATTTTCATCAATTCTGTTGCAGCGTGCAACCCGCTCTCACAATATATTCACATTTAATTCTGTTACAGCGTGCAACTCGCTCTCACAATATATTCACATTCAGTTATGTTGCGGCGCGCAACCCGCTCCTCCAATATATTCATTTTAATCAAGTCTGTTGCGGCGTGCAACTCGATCCCCCAATATATGTATATATATCGACTTTTAAATAAGTCTGTTGTGGCGTACAACCCGATCCTCCAATATGGACTTTTAATAAGTCTGTTGCGGCGTGTAACCCGATCCTCCAATATGGACTTTTTAATAAGTCTGTTGCGGCGTGCAACCCGATCCTCCAATATATTCGTTTCAATCAATTCTGTTGCGGCGTGCAATCCGCTCCTCCAATATATTAATTTATCAATTCTTATAGAAGGAATTTCCCCAATAAATGCAACAATTAATATGAAATTATAAGACAACAAGCATACAATAATTATGATTTAATTATGAAACAAACAATGTCAAATAGCAAATTATTATAGAAATCAGGGAGAAAATAGGCAGTTTAATATTTAATATGCTAAATGTCAAATAACAATTAAGACACATAATTCAAGTAGCATGTAATAATTAATGCAGGAATTTAAGAATTAATATTTGACAAAGAATAAGAGAGAAATAATTATTATAATAATTAATTCATGATTTAAGACAATTTATGATTTTTCAAGTAAGTAGGCAAACAATTAATTTGACAACGTGTAGACACTCGTTACCTCGCCTATACGTCGTTCACATGCATTTCACATAACAAATAATTTAAGGGTTCTATTCCCTCAAGTCAAGGTTAACCACGACACTTACCTCGCTTTGCAAATTCCAATCAATTATTCAACCACAACTTTTCCTTTTAAATTTGTCTCCGAAAGCTTCAAATCTATTCACAAATAATTCGATATATTCAATACCAATCATAGGAATTAATTCCATATGAATTTACTAATTTTATGTATAAAAAATCCGAAATGCATTTAAATATTCGACAGTGGGACCCACATCTCAAATCCCAAAAAAACTCGCGAAATCCGAACAACCATTCCAATACGAGTTCAACCATACAAAAATTGTCCAATTCCGATATCAAATGGACCTTCAAATCTTAACTTTTCGTTTTTGAAAGATTTTATAAAAATCTGATTTATTCCATCTAAATCCGAAAATAAATGATGAATATAGACATGGATTTGTGAAATATAATCACTATTGGTTAAAGAACACTTACCTAATTCAAAGTTATGAAAATCCCCCCTTGAAATTGCCCAAATCTGAGACTTGAAACTCAAAAATGAGTAAAAATGGCGACTTCCGAATTTATGGGCTCTGCCCAGTCATTTTCGCATCTGCGGATAAAAGTTTCGCATTTGCGAGACAAAGCTCGCATCTGCGATGCCAGGCTGCCAGGTGAAGTTCCGCATCTGCGGACACTCCGGTCGCACATGCGACACCTGCTTCTGCGCAAAATGACCGCACCTGCGAAGACCCCAGGCCAGCCCAGTCCCGCATCTGCGTGATTTGGTGCGCATATGCGGACACGCTTCTGCGAGAAGCTGTCCGCTTCTGCGATCGAATCCTTGACACGCCTGGGCGCATCTGCGATGGAAGGCTCGCATCTGCGATCTCACACCTGCGGGCAAAAATCCGCAGGTGCGATTGCAATAGAAGGAAAAAAAATTCAGATTTTGCTTAAGTCCAATTCTTGATCCGATTTCAATCCGTATCACTCTCGGGGTACTCGGGACCCCGTACGAATATACCAACAAGTCCAATAATATAATACGGACTTACTCGGGGTCTCGTATCACGTCAAATAACGCATTACAATTCACACCCCGATTCAAACTTTGAGTTTTAAACTTTTCAATTTGCAAACCTCGTGCCAAAACATATTAAATGAATCCGGAATGAATTTAAATTTGTCACACAAGTCATAAATGACATAACTGAGCTGTTCAAATTTTCAGAATCAGATTCCGACTCTGATATAAAAAAGTCAACCCCGTGGTCAAACTTGGAATCTTTAGCCTTTAAATTGCTAGTTTTGTTAAATGGTCATAACTTGAGATATGGACCTCCAAATTAAATTTCGGGCATACGCCCAAGTCCCAAATCATGATACGGAGCTACCGGAACTATCAAAATACTGATCCGGATCCGTTTGCTAAAAATGTTGACCAAAGTCAACTCAGTTGAGTTTTAAAGCTTTATTTCACATTTAAACTTTTCGAAAAATTTTACGAACTGCGCACGCAAGTCGATGAATGATAAATGGTACTTTTCAAGGTCTTAGAACACATAGTTACTTATTAAATTTAAAGATAATATTTTGGGTTATCACAGCGTATGACATGTACGCGACCAATGACATATTCATGTAACCACACAATAATATTAATTCTCTTTATTTCATTCAAACATCCCTTAGAGGTGAGTTGTGCGGTATTCATCCAATTATGCATTGCATATATTTATTCATTACTTTTATCATATATTGCTGCATTCACCTTCATGAATGGGTCTGCATTCTCAATGTTTTGTCACAAGTCATATTCTCTTCAAAGAATAGAGTATAGTCGTAGCGACGTGCTTTATTATTTTTCTATACCAGTTTGATGGTAATCATTGCCTTCACCTTTTGAAGGATATATTTTGAGAATCATTATTGTTTTCTTATTTTATAATTACTATAATGATGACTATTATTATTTTTTCATTTGCCACACAAGTGTTCATTCATCAATCACTTGTCTTCATTTAAACTTATTATGCATTGCTATCACATTCACTTCAAGAATGGAGCAAATCAAGTGTGACAAGTTTCATGCTTTTTCATGAAAAATACATTATCTTATTTAGTCATCATTATATCATCGATGTGGTGCATTGAGACTTAAATCCAATGCCTTACCCATATAAAGGCACGTTAGACCATAATGAGTTGGGACTCAAATCCAACTCTTATCATCATGGTGCACCAGGACTTAAACCCGATGTCTTATTCTCATGGTGCGCTGGAACTTGAATCCACCGTCTTACCCTCGTATAATATTTATCACCAATTATATCATTCACTTTTAGGAATGGAACATAATTTTATGTAGCCACATAGTAAAATCTATCATAAAAATAAGTAAATGGAAATGATAAGAACTATTATCAATTAAAAAATGATGGAGTACAAACTCGTGTACTAGTATCCTACATATAAACATGTCAAAACAGAGAGTCACCATGTAGCGTTATTACTATGTGATGTGTTACTGCAAACTAATGCATGATAGTTACATAAAATGTACACAAGAATTGAAACACATCTCTAAATATACTTAACCTTAGAAAGCAAACAATCTTAAGTAATAACTATTGCTAGCATATTCTATTTTTATACAGAAGAAGCCAAAATAGACTAGTAAAACATAATGATATCATTTTGTCAATTATCAATATAAAAAAATATTGCATCTAATCAGATTAGGCCATTGATCTTAAAGTCCTCGTTCACACAGAAGATGATTCTAAACCAAATGTTACATTACACTTAACATGACTAGAATGTTTTTTTTAATGTTTCACAAAGATTTTTTAATATCATGGCAAATCAATGATAGCATAATGTTATAATTGTATAAGATTAATCTTAGAACTAGGAACAAAGTTAGCGGGCATATACAACCATACATGCATGAAAACTTAAAATCAAAGCTTACTGTTGTCTAACCAAAACAACTACAAATCTTAAATTTTAACATAAGCTAAATACACAATTTATGGTAATAATTAAAAATAATACTCATAGCTGGACAGTAAGAAGCAAACTCAATATTGATATGATATACGGAATGCCCAGGTTTTATTTGACTCAACCAAATTGATTCTACATTGTTGGTTATTCATAGTTCCATCATGAAATGACTATCCTTTCAATTTGGTTAGAATTTCGTACTGATAACGTGTTATGAAATAAAATTAATTTAGTAAAATATGAACAATAAATAGAGATATAGAGAGAATGAAGAGATTTTCTTCTTCAATTGTATGTATTTTCCTATATATTACAAGGCCTTTATATATGCATGAAAAGTGAAGAAAAATATGTCATTGAATATGTCATTAAGCATAGAAATATGTCATTGAATATGTCATTAAACATTTGAGAAGATAAACGCAGAAGAGTAGACATACACCATAATTTAATTTTTCTTATAACGGTAATTGAATAATCAAACAGTTGAAAGTTCAGATAAATAATTAAATTGGTTAGCTCTAAAACGACGTCGTATAGTGCAGAAAACGAGTATATACTTGTACAACTGGCGAAACATATGTCTATATCAAATTATCAACATATTGGCCACGATTAAATTTCATTGTATTAAATTATTACTAATATCTGATATTGACGTAATCACAGAACAGCAACCAGAAATTACAGTTATAGAAGATAAAGAAGAAGCCCCATCAACTTCATTCTATCTGTCGAACGTATCTTCAATCTGAATTTCATCAAATTTCTGTCTAAATTCAAAAGGGTAATTTTTTTTTCTTCTTCTTTTTCTTTACATATCAGCTAATCCAATGTTAATTCATTGTATTTTGATGCTTTTCTATTCTCTAAAATTAATAGATCCACTTGCAGTAATCATCCATGTTGAATTAATGGTTTTTATCATTTTTTGAATTCTTGATTTAATCCATCTAAAGATTGTGTCTTTATATATGCCATTTTTTTATTTTCCCCTTTTTGCTAAGTTCTCCAAGTTATTTTCTAGTAGTACCTGTTTACTTAGAATCAAATTGACCTGAAATACAAGTATAAAGATTGTGTCTTTTTTGATATGTCATTTTCTGATTTTTCCTTTTTAGTTAAGTTCTCTCAGATATTTTCCAGTTTCAGTTTACTCAGAACCAAATTGACCTGAAATACAAGTATAAACATTGTTTGATTAAAAAAAGAAAAACAAGTATAAAGATCGTGTCTTTAAATATGCCCTTTTTCTGATTTTTTTTTTCCGTTTAGCTAAGCTCTCCAAGATATTTACCTGAATAGAGTGGAATGGATACAGAGGATTCATATAGCTGATTCCAGCTAATATGGGATTGAAGCACAGTTGACTAATTTGTTAATAGATTCTGTTTAGTTGTTGCCTTTTGATGACTTTGTTGCATATTAATTCTGAATTATTGATTCATTCTTCTGTTTGTTGGGCATTGTTATAATTGGGGAATTCGAGTTAAAATTCACTTACGCTGCATGACTTGGATCTTGCCATCATGAATCATATAATTGCTAACGAGATATGCAGTAGGTGAAAAGAATTTTGAATCGTGCACAAAATCAAGTTTAACTTTTGCTAGTTATCACCGACTAATTAATCATGAAGGCCTAAGATATAATATGTTCTACCCTTAGTACAACTGATTGACAAGTTGGCATAAGATGTGGAGTATTCAAATCTTTTATATTTGTTTAATTTGGGGCTGGGTTTTTGCTTGGAGGTGTTAGCTTTTGTGGAACATATCAGTGCTTTTGATACTTTGCTCGTAGGGATTAAAGAATAGCTACTTAAAGAAGGAAGCATACACCCTATTAACATCTTTTTAGTTATCATTTTGAGGACTTTGAAGAAAGCGAACCGCTGTTGTTTTCTGTTGTTACTCACAGCTGGAAGTACAACTTTTTGCTCGTTGTTAGGCTGAAGCAGCAAGAGCGGTTTCTAATGTAAATGAAACTCCAGGTTTTGCTTGTAAATGAAACTCCAGGTTTTTAGTTATCATTTTGAGGACTTTGAAGAAAGCGAACCACTGTTGTTTTCTGTTGTTATTCACAGCTGGAAGTACACCTTTTTGCTTGTTGTTAGGCTGAAGCAGCAAGAGCGGTTTCTAATGTAAATGAGACTCCAGGTTTTGCTTGTGATGAATGATTTACCATGATTCTAAATTGCACGAGAAGAGGATAGAGTAGTCATAGAGATATTTAGTGTAACTTCTTTCCTTGATATGTTTTGCATTGGCTGACAGAATTAGCGGGCATTGTCTCTTGCTTCGTTTATTGATGTGGGGAGATATTTATGAATTTTTAAGCATGTACTTACATAGATTCCTTGGCAGGTGTATAGCTCCAAAGTTCAAGAACTTTTGGCGTTTTGCATTCACATAGTCAAAAATAGCAAAGAATGGTCACGAGGTTTGTTCAATTTTCATGTTTGTCTGGTTTTCAATGATTTTTCTAGAGCCAATTAAAGTGGCCTCCTCCTCCTCACCCTCATTCCAAACCTGCTTTTTTGGTTGAACAGCTATGGCGAGCTCTGAAGTCAGGGGAATACCATGTCGCATTGTTTAGAGGGGATCAAGCATTTAGGTGCTTCCCTGCTGCAGTGTTGTGATAGGCAATCCACGGGCCTTGAAGATCCCGAGATTCTTGCACGAGAGACAGTTTGTATGCTATCTGAACACATCTATCTATACATATTTATCTGCCATTTGTAGAGCATAAAAATGAAACCACGGAGGATATAAACTTTAGTATTTTTCTTCATTTCGATCAAACATAAGCGATGTTATCTGGTTCTAGGTTTGTCTTATTTAATGATTGCCTCATTCGGGAAATATGATTTTGATTTTGAAGATCATTACAATTATAAATTTCTCTAATTTCACAATATGTTTTATTCTCTTTTAATGCCTGTCAATGCCAATGTTGTCATAGGCGACAAAAGCAGCTAGTGCAAAGTGTAATTAAAGCGTGTACTTCAACGAAGAACGGATTGCAAGAATGGTAACTAATGAAATATATAAAACCATATGAATCAAATTATTTTAAGTATTTGGTTCAAATGCAAAGTTATACTAGTTTCCATTTTATAATTCTAATTTCATATACCTGGTTGTTATTTTTCTAATTATTCTAATTCTAAGTATTCTAATTATTTTTCTTGTTTATGCCTGCTTCAAAACTGAATCTATAGGTGTTTAAGTATACACCTTAGCGCCTCGATGCATGCCCTAAATTTTCGCGTAAGGGAAGCAATCCACTTACCTAGCTTCAATTTTAAGTGCCTCTCAATGACACTGGTCGATATGTAAAAGGTTTAGAATATAGATTTCTGACATATACGTTCTAACCATATGTATATGTGTTGTATGACTTCCTTGCTTGCATATATGCTTCAATTTTCCTTCTTGTGGCAGTTAGCGTCAGTGAGATCGAAGCTCTTTATGAGCTTTTTGTGAAGATTAGCAGCGCAGTGATTGATGATGGTCTGATCAACAAGGTTTGGTCTCACATTTTCTTATAAGACTAGTCTTTCGGATACGCGTGTACTTCGTACTAATGAGTAGAATACTATAAAAGAATTACTTAAATTTTATATTAAAAATTATGTTCGAGTTATCGTAAAAGAAAAATTAAAGAAAAAGATATAAGTTTTTAGAAATAATAATTACCGATCTTATTAATTTAATTACTCAATAAAGTAAGAAACTCTATCTAAAGAAGTATGATATTTTTCTATACATATGCGATATGTTCCTATTTTCAATTTGTACTGATATTTTTCTATACATACGCGATATGTTCCTATTTTCAATTTGTACATGAGTGTATTTTTATTTACTCCTATATATATAGCTAGAATATTTATATATACTTTCTTATTTAATCATATAAGTAGGCCTACGTAAGTATTCGTTATCTTTTAATGATTATCCCATCGTCAATTGATTATATATGTAAAGTAACTTGCATAAAAGTTGAGATATTTATGTTAGTGATCGATTTTATGTGTTTATTCTACGTTTGTGTTTAATTGAAGTGATAAAATCCGAATAGATTTTAAAGTTTAAATATCAGGATTTTGTACATAGTTCAAACAAGGAAGGGTTTGGTAAACAAAACATAGTAGATTTAAAATACCTAAAAATATAATTAAATGACTATTTTGTCTAGTGTGAACTCTATTTTTAAAGGGTAAAAAAGACGATCGACATTACGCTAAGGGCCTTCGTGCTTTTAATATAGTATAGATTACAACTTTTGATCGCTAAGTTTAGTTACTTTTCTTAGCATAGATGTTTAATATATTTGTATCCAGCTTTGCTTTTGAATTTGAACATTTCACTATGTTATAGGAAGAGTTTCAATTGGCGCTATTCAAGACAAGCAAAAAAGAGAGCTTGTTTGCTGACAGGGTAAGTTCTCTGTACATTCATTAGTCTTTCATTGTTATCTAGCTTTACTGCATGATACTTCAAGTTTTTATTGTCTTCATTTCTTCTTACTCCGACACGTTTTATTGCAGGTGTTTGACTTGTTTGACACAAAGCACAATGGACTCTTGGGTTTTGAGGAGTTTGCCCGTGCACTCTCTGTTTTCCATCCGAATGCTCCTATCGATGATAAGATTGGGTGTATGTTAATTGGTTACATGAATAACAATGATTACCTCCAATTTGTGCATATCAGCTTCTAATGATAGATTACTGTTGTAGTTTCTTTTCAGCTATATGATCTCAAACAACAAGGCTTCATCGAGAGGCAAGAGGTAAACCTTTCATAATATGAAGTTGTTAATTATAGATGTAAACGTCAGTCTATTTTAATGTGTTGACTTACTCTTCTCTTCTTTTCTACTATTTCTGAATGTTAATTATGGAGTGCATGACATAAAAAGATAACGGCATTTATTATGCAGGTGAAGCAAATGGTGGTTGCTACCCTTGCTGAGACTGGTATGAACCTTTCAGATGAAATTATTGAGAGCATAATCGACAAGGTATTTCAACAACCTACAAATAAATACTATTTTTGGTCAAGTTTTCATTTGAAGGAGTGGTTTTCTTATTTATATCTACTTAGTAAGCGACATATACAATACTACTTTCCCTTGATTATTTGGTTTGTTGTCTATCTCATTAAAGTTTAGGGGCACGTGAATTGTCTCGGTTGCTTAGAACTGTAGGGAAAAGTAGCACTTCCAATCCCCAGTGGTCACAGGAACATGACATTGTATTTTCTTAAGACCTAATTCGTTTAACGTCAGGGTAATTGACTGATTAGTTGGTGAACAGCTTATTTAATTGGTGAGGGGGTGATGCTTAAGTCTTTCGCTCTCAGAACCACATCATATTCGTAGAGACAATTTAGTGATTTTAAAGTAACAACAACAACAACAACAAAAATCCCACTATAATCCCATAAGTGGGGTCTGAGGAAGGTAGTAAATACGCAGACCTTACCCCTACCGTGAATGTAGAGATGCTGTTAATAGACCCTCGGCACAAGGAAAAATGAAAATAAAGCAGTAGCAACAAGTAATAACGAGAACAAGATAATAAGAAAACGAGGCGAAAGGAACAACATGTAGTAATAGAAATCTAACAATAATAGAATACAATATTGACAATTATAACACTGGAATTGTCAGGAAACACACTCAACTACCTACTAACCTTCTACCTTAATCCTCGACCTCCACAATTTAGTGATTTAAAGTGTGAGCAGAAATTAAGGACGGAACCATCTTTAGCTTTGTTCCTCCCATAAACTAGTACCGACAGTGTTTTATACCAATTGTGTCAGAAAGAAAGAGGTTGAGAAACCACTCGACTTCTGAGTTTGGAGTCTCTTCTTTCAAGTCTCCCCTGAATTGTGCCACAAAATGGTTAGTATAAATATTCTATATTGGGAATATGCTCGTTTGTTTGACTTTTGATTTTGGTTATTCTATGTTAATTATATGTTTGCAAAGACCTGGACATTCTCATGTTTGTTATAGTTCATCCTTATCAAAATCCCTTTTTTCTCCCTGGGAAGCGGAAGGCGCAGTTCGGATGGTAGCAATTGCAGGATTTAGCTTTTTACTGCTTAACCAATGTTTGCTTTATTTGGGCAGACTTTTGAAGAAGCTGATACTAAACATGACGGAAAGATTGATAAGGAAGAGTGGAGAAATTTGGTCCTGCGACATCCTTCACTTCTGAAGAATATGACCCTTCAGTATCTTAAGTAAGTAGCACGTGGAATAATGTGATCACTTCAAATAGAATCACATATTGCAGATTTTCTGTTTGTAGCACGTTTTTATTGACCTGAAATATCATTTTCACTTAAACAGGGACATTACAACTACATTCCCGAGTTTCGTCTTTCACTCAAGAGTCCCGGATACCTGATATGGAATTGGCAAACGGACTTGCTTACGGAAGTAGTTTTGTTTCTTTAGAGCTGCAGTTCGCGGTGAAACTATATATCTATTTTGCTCATATATTTTTGAGTTCCAACATTTTCATGATTTGTTATTCTTTTTGAGAGTAGTCCTTGTGTACTTTTGTTGCCACTTAATAAATGTTGTGTAAGTATCCTCGTAATTTGTTCGTCATTGCTCATTATTAATTTGCTTGATTAATGTGTATTTCAATTCAGACATCTTAATCTTAATAAAGATTAGTACTGCGATAGAATCCACAAGTTGTAATTGCAACTCGATCCGACTTTACCAGAAAACATCTACTTTTTCGGGGTATTGCAATAGGTTTTCTTCTTGGAGTTGGTCATTGTGGTATGATTGAAAAGGTAATCAACCCATAGTGATTCTCAAATTCTCATAGTATGCTTTAGAAACTTCTTCTTGCAAAAGCTGGAAATAGGCAGCCCCAGCGTTAATGGATCCTTAGCAACTCAAAAAAGAAAAGAGCAAACTTCCAAGTATGAGAATTTGCCATCAGACCATCTTACACACGTAAAAGAAGAATCAATTGTAGTGAGGATCACAAACTATGAAGCTCTGCTCTTACATTTTGAAGAAATGATAGACATGGATTTGAGCGACTCAAGCTCTCCCAATTATAAGAATTGATGATTGCACTGCTACTAAGGACTTTTGAGTTTTGACAGTCAAAAAGACGAGCAGCTAAAAGAAAGTTTTACTACATGGGAGTACTGGTTTTTTACTTCCTGGATTTTTTCGAGTTCATACGCAAACTTTCTCCTAATGATAATGGACGCAAGTTTTAGACATAGGCTAAAAAAGTTCATTCACAGAAACACAACCAACAGCTGAGGGCAACAGAACTTCAACAGGTTAACTATTCTATTGGGACTATTGTTAAAAAGAAAAAGAAAAAGAAAAAAAAAGGCACATAAAGTGCAATATGGTAAGGTAAACGAAAAATGTAACTACTGCAGGTAACAGAGAATACCAAAAAAAACTACTATAGACTAAAAGCTTAATCGACTTCCTCCATCTTGCTGCCTTCAGCATCAGCTTCCGGATCCTCCAGTGCTGGCATGTCAACATCAGCATCCCCAGAATCCTCATCAATGCTGAGCCCAAGTTTCAGCATCCTGTGAATTCTGTTACCAAAGGTGTTGGGATCGTCGAGGCTGAAACCCGAGGTGAGAAGAGCAGTCTCGAACAGCAACAGGACCAAATCCTTGACAGACTTGTCATTCTTGTCCGCATCAGCCCTCTTCCTAAGCTCATCCATGATGGCGTTCTCTGGGTTTATCTCCATGGTCTTCTTGCTAGACATGTATCCAGCCATGCTAGAATCCCGAAGTGCTTGCGCCTTCATGATTCTCTCCATGTTTGCAGTCCAGCCATACTCGCCAGTAACCAAACAGCAGGGAGAGTCCACAACACGGTCTGAAACAACGACCTTTTCAACCTTGTCACCAAGCACATCCTTAATCACCTTGCACAGGCCCTCAAATTTCTCCTTCAATTCTTCGTTCTTTTTCTTCTCATCCTCGCTTTCATCGAGTTTGAGACCTTCCTTGGTAGCAGAAACAAGCTTCTTACCCTCAAATTCCTTCAGCTGACCAATACAGTACTCATCAATAGCATCAACCATGTAGAGAACCTCATAGCCCTTCTTCTTCAGCTTCTCGAGGAAGGGTGAGTTCTCAACAGCCTTCTTGCTCTCACCAGTAATGTAGTAAATATCGTTCTGACCTTCCTTCATCCTGGTCACATAGTCCTTCAAACTGGTCATGTCATCACCACTTTTTGTAGAGTGGTATCTCAGCAGTTCAGCAAACTTAGACCTGTTCTGTGAATCCTCATGGATACCAAGCTTGATGTTCTTTGAGAAGGCCTCGTAGAACTTGTCAAAATCTTCCTTGTTTTCAGCTATTTCAAAGAATAGCTCAATGCACTTCTTTACCAAGTTCTTGCGAATAACCTTAAGGATCTTGTTCTGCTGCAACATTTCTCTGGAAATGTTGAGGGGAAGGTCCTCAGAATCCACAATACCCTTCACAAAGCTCAAATATTCAGGAATCAACTCTTCACAGTTGTCCATGATGAACACTCGGCGAACATACAGCTTGATATTGTTGGGCTTCTTCTTGGTGTCAAAGAGGTCAAAAGGAGCCCTCTTTGGAACAAAAAGAACAGCCTTAAACTCCAGCTGGCCCTCAACAGAGAAGTGCTTCACAGCCAAATGTTCCTCCCAGTCATTAGTCAGGCTCTTGTAGAATGCAGCATACTCTTCCTTTGTGATCTCCTCGGGCTTCCTCATCCATATGGGCTTCTGCTTGTTCACCAAGGACCACTCATTAGAGACTTCCTTGATCTTCTTCTTTTTCTTTTCTTCCTTCTCCTTTTCTTCGTCAACCTCCTCTACCTTCCCTTCCTCGTCTTTCTTCTCCTCTTCATCCTCATCATCAGAGATTTCCTTTTCAATTGTCTTCTCAACCCAAAGAGAGATTGGGTAGCTGATGAACTCGGAGTGCTTCTTAATCAGGTCCTTGAGCCTGCGCTCTTCCAGATATTCAAGCTGATCCTCCTTGAGATATAGGGTCATTTTAGTACCCCTACCGAGGTTCTCCCCAGAAGTGTCCCTGGTGACAGTGAATGAACCACCAGCTTGAGACTCCCAAACATACTGTTCGTCATCGTTGTGCTTTGTTGTCACAATAACCTTCTCAGCCACCAAGTAAGCTGAATAGAAACCAACACCAAATTGCCCAATCATGCTAACATCAGCACCAGCTGCAAGAGCTTCCATAAATTCCTTAGTCCCGGACCTAGCAATTGTACCAAGGTTGTTCACCAGATCTGCAGTAACACAAACAGGATGAGTATGTTGCAATATAATGCTATTTAAGCACCAAGTACTTCCACAAATTACTCTAACTTACCAGCCTTGGTCATACCGATACCACTGTCAATGATAGTTAAGGTATTGTTGGTCTTGTCAGGAATAATGTGGATAAAGAGTTCAGGTTGAGCGTCAAGCTTGCTCTTGTCGGTCAAGCTCTCAAAGCGAATCTTGTCCAAAGCCTTTCATAAATTATCACAACATAATCAGACACTTCATACATATTTGAAACATAAGTAAATGAATCGTTCATCATATCATACAATATAACATACACGGACACACAACAAGTCTTTGACAAGAGTAACACTGATTTGTAAGACACTCCAAGACATGCACAGAATCGACTCAAGATTAAAGTTTTACTAATTGATACATTGAACAACATCCCCTTCAGCTTAATCGATCTGGAACAAGCAAATTTAGCTTCTAGGGCTCCAAGATTTCCCTTATAAACAAAACTCTTTAATGTACGCCTCAAAATACTAAACAAAGAGTCCACATGATTCATAAACAAAATTTTCCTACCAGCTGCGGTTAGTGCATACTCATTAACAAAACAATAGATCAACACCCTGATCAACATTGTAATGATATCTACATCTTAAATTTGCACATGCCAATATCTGTTTCATGAATAACAGAACAAACAATTCTACGCACTTGTCAACCCATTCATGTAAGGAACAAGGCAGTTTTCGTGATTATAATCTTAAAAAAAATATTATAATCATCAAACAGGACACTGACAAACGATCTAGTTTTCAGAGTACAAAAAATATCTCAAAACCCCAGGTTTATAGCCCCTAATCACATCCATTGAGCCAGCTCTGTTGTTTCTCCAAACTACTAACATCAAATCACAAACACAGATACATCTAGAATATGAGCAGAATTAACTATAGAGAGCGCCCACGATCAAAAAACTTTAACATTAAATTACAATAAAAAATAAAAAATAAAATCATGCACTTTATATACGATCAGAATCAATTATAGAGGCGTCCGCAATCAAACAACTAACATTAAGTCAGAAAAAATCATTGCGTTTAATAAAAGAGCAGAATCAACTATAGGGAGCGTTCACAAACAATTCTCAATGTACAAAAAGACAATGCGACTCCAAATACAGACACATATCAAGCACTTATCAACCAGTTCTTTTTAAGACCAAGGCATTTGTGTGATTTAATCTATAAAAAGGGCTCAAATCATCAAAAAAGAACCTAAATTGTCAATAGCTCTAGTAATCAGAATACGAAAAAAAAAAAGCTAAATCATTTAGAAAAAAAAAACAAAAATCATGAATTTAAAAGGCTCAAATCATCAAAGAAAAACTGAAACCATAAATAAATAAAGACTCAAATCATCAAACAGAACCTAAACTAAACGATCTAGTTATCAGAGTACGGAAAAATCGCAAATCATCAAAAACAAAAACTAAAAATTATTATTAAAAAAAACTCAAATCATCAAACAAACAATCATGCATCTAATATATGAGCAGAATCAAATACACGGAGCTTATCGCGTTAAATAGACAATGTAATTACAAATTCAAATAGAAAATCGAAAAGAGATTTGACTTACATCAGAAGAATTGCTAATAAGTTCCCGGAGAAAAATCTCCTTGTTGCTGTAGAATGTGTTGATAATAAGACTCAAAAGCTGGTTAATTTCAGCCTGAAAAGCAAAGGTCTCTGTATCCGCCATTGCCGATCTAGCGATGCTGCTGCTACGTCAACGATTGTAGAAAGCAAAGGGGAGAGAAATTAGGGTTGAGGACGGCGAGAGAACAGTAGAAGAAACAAAGATAGAGAGATTGGTGAGGGAGGGTGTTTATATTGATGTTTGTTTTGGGTTTCTAGACTCTTCTATTGCCAAGTAATTTATTAGAACCTTCTAGACTATCAGATTTATCAAGTATTCTCTTTGTTTCCTTTTAAGCTAGTGTTAAAAGCAGCGCTGATAATTTAACAAAATATTAATCTTATAAAGGTATAATTTAATATATTAAATTATTTTAATAAATATTAATAATTATTTTATTATTTCATGTAGTGTACAGAAATATTAGAAAATCTATACAAAACAAAAGAATACACATTAAATAGTAATTGAATAAATTATTTATTCCTTATTATTCTTTATTATTATTAAATTAGCAAGTACTTAGTAATATATATTTACTAATATGACTTTTTAGTAACTTGTCAATTATTTTTATATTTTGTAATTAATTCGATTTTATTATAATATAGATATATATATTTATTACTCTGAAAATATTCTTTTTTAAAAACTTATG